TTCAATATTTACTAAATCAATGTTTCTTAAATAGTGTTAAAGCAGACAAATTCATAAACTTGGAAATTAAAAAATTAATTAAAATTCTAAAAAATACATATGAGCTAAAGGTTAACTATATACGCATCTCATATACTTGAATTGAAATTATGCCTGGCGTACATGTTGGCACCATAGTAATAAATCTTGCTTAATGAGTTTCGATATTTTTTTTTTTGAATCATAATTCGTAAAACTTATTCGTATTTTGCGTATAAAATGAGCATTCATAAAAATCTAAATTAAAATCACATTTATTCGAATTGAACAATGAAATCAACTTGTTTATAAATTGAACAATTTTTTTTTCGTAATGTTAATTCTAAACCGATTTTAATAATTATTAATAATTTTGTGATTTTTAATCAATTTTTTTTTTTTTTTGCAGTTTTTAAGTCCTCATTTTCATTTACAATTTTACGTATTTTTAAGGATTTTTACAGTCATATTTGAATAAAATATTTAATACTATAAGTATATCTATATATGCATATGTATATACATATATATATATACTTGTAATATTGAATATATATATATAGATATTATCATGTACTAAATTGTTTCCAAGAGTTATTTAAGAGGAATACCAGCCTTAAATATTAAAAAATATTATGACATTTTATATTCGTAGATATTCTAAAAAAAAAAAAAAAAAAAAAATTAATTAAGCGTATTATACTCATCTTAATGTGTACATATATATGTATATGTTATATAATATAACATATAATAGAGTGGGGTAACAAATTAAAATTTTCTGATTTTATTCAATTTCATATTTTGTGTGTTTATTTTTTTTATTTTTCATATATATTGTGAACAACTTATTTCAATTTTTGTACAAATATATATATGTATATGTATATATGTGTATACATACAATAGTATATTGTATACAGCATAAATGTATTCATATTCTTCGTATCTTGAGTCATTCATCAGATTCTATAACAATATTCTTCCATCATCCATTGCATTGCATTGCAATTAATTCTTTCCTCAAGTGTACATTTTTTTTTTTTATATACCAACATATATTTTTATTATGTAGGAATCACGGGCTCTTGAAAATGAGTTTTTAATTTTTATTTTATTTTAATTTTTTATTTATATTTTTTTTTCTTCATTTTTACTCCTGTTCCTTATTTATTTAAATTTTTTTTTATTTTGCTGAAAAGTAGGGGGCGATTCAATGGAACAGTATGATGTATATATATATATTATATTCAAAATATGTTTGGTATATAAATTTATATACAATATATTATTATATATATTTATATACAACTTCTATATTATATGCATTCTATATTCCATTATGTGCGGTGAAGAGAAACCATATGCAAATTTCATACATGTAGATATGAATATGAAATGTTATAGAAATAAGATAGAATGAATATGGAAAGGAAAATTTTTTTATAAATACATATATAGATAAAGAATAAATATATATATATATGCAAATACGTACTATATTACATATGTATATATATATATATATCTGAAATGATGCGTTCTTATATATGACATATATGTACCATTAGATTTATGCAGTACATTTTCCTTAAAATAAAAGAAAATAAAAAACACGAAAAAAACAAAATGAAAAATAACAGTATAAGTTAACTGTATTCATAATGTTATAATAATTATTATCAACATCATTGTCATCGTCATCGTCATCATCAACGCTATATCGTGAACGTTAACATATTCTTTATCAACATTACTATGCATATATATTTTTGTAAAATATCATCATTTCATTTTAATATTCATTATATCTTATAATATATATATAAATTATATATATATGTATAACATTATATGTATATATAGTAGAAAAAAAAAACAAGAAAGTCCCATAATGTTATGAATTAAAGTGGAAATTTTTAACGTTAACTTTACCAATATTGGGATAGGTAAAATCATTTAAAAAAAAATTGATATTATAAAAAATTAAATTAAAAGGTTAACAACGATACACTATAGATATAATCTGGAATAACTAATATATTTTTATTTTTATACATATATTTTCAATTTTGTTATATACTAATATACACGTTCTTAAAAAATTCTTTAAGAAAACATTCATTAATATAATATTCGTTTTAGGAAATACTTTCGATCTGCATCTGATTAATTAGAATCACTTAACTAGCACATAAAAATTTTGTTTTAATCGTCCCTATGTAAAATAAAATTGGGTCAAACCAATAGTTTGTATCATAGCACTTTTCCCATCTACAAGTGAAAATACTCCTTTTAAATACAGTCTATGTATACCCACCACACTATTAAAATTATTTTCATTCATAAACGAAATTATTTCTAGGATTGCATACATTTAGGATGAACTATTTATATAGTCTTTTAAATAAAATAAAAAAAAAAAAAGATTTAAAGTGGCTTTAACATAATGCTCAATTTTAACGGTTAACATGTCCACGGACAGACGAACAGACAGAATAAAACTAATAAGCACTTTTTTTCAAAAATTTTTTGGAAAAGTGCTAAAAAATGGTAGTTCCTAATGCTAGCTTAAATTATTCAACTATATAATTCTATATATAATTATATAATACATTTCTAGCAACAGGTTAAGTATCAGCACTGCTATACTTAAAATAGAGTAAAAACTTAAAAAAAAAAGTGCAAAATTTAAATTTTTTTAAATTAATTTTAATTAAAGTTACTCTTACTATACCAAATAATTACCATAATCTATCATTTTCTATGTTACAAACTAAGTAAGAGAATAATTACACTTTCTCTTTTATTAATAATATATGTATGTATATAAAACCAGTTTAAAATCTCCCTATATAATTAACATCATTCTAATTATGATATTGATTCTTATGCTGATGATGTTATATATAGTGATGATTTTGTTGATTGTTTTTACGCGACTGTTTGCTCTTCTTATCCCTATTTAATAGAGTGTAGAATTGTGATTTGTTTTTTCGTTTTTCTTGTTTTTTGGTAGGTAAACCAATGTATTAAGTAACATTAAGAAGGAAAATGAAGATATACTCAATAATATACTGGTGTACCAGTAGGAGAGTATAGTATAATAGAATCAACATTATGAATATAATAGTAGAACGAGAAGAAAAGAAAAACAATAATAATAATAATATCAAGTAGGGACCAAAGCACTATTATGTCATATGAATTCAGAAAATAGAGAAATAAAAAAAAAAATAAAAACTCACCCTCATTTTTTTTTTAAATTTTTATTTTTCCTATTTTGTTTTTCCTCTTCTTTTTTTCACTTATTTTTCTATAGTTTCTTATTTTCTTATTCAAATTCCATAAACGTTGAACTCAAAATTCTTAAGTGAAAATAAGAAAAAAGACAAAAACAAGAAAAAAAATAGAATTTATAATGAAAATATAAAATATTATTCTATTATATGGTTAAAATATCGTTCCCTGTTATAAGCACATCAACAATATTCATAAATAATAATAATAATAATAATAATAATTGTTAACAATGACAATAGTAAATAAAATGACAATAATAATAATGATGATAACAGTAATGTAGAAATTAATTGTACCATTTTGTAAATATCGCTTTTATCACACTTGTGTATTTTACCTTTAAAAGTTTTATAATTTTAAGGTAAAATAAACAATTAGATTTTTGACCTCTATTGCATATTTAAACATTATTAATTACTGTTATTCTTATTCTTATTATTAATTACAAGTAATGATTTATGTATTTAATTCGATGCACATAGTTACTTTTAGACATACATACTTATTATAAGAAAGAATCAAATTTTGTTTTCTAATATTACACGCCATTAAAAGAAACTAGTTAATTAAAAACGATGTTTTGCAAATAAATTCAAAATTATGCAGTAGGAATAGTTAATAATAATTGAAATTATTTCAAAAAATAAAAAGTATGTAGTTATTTAAATAATTACTTTTTCTTGAAAAGATTTTTTTTTTCAAATTACTCGCTAGTTTAATTGAAATTTTTTGTTATCCAAATATTTGTACACAAAAATAATAATTTATATATACAATGTAATATATTTATATACATGTATATGCATGTAAATAATGAGCACGTCCCCATAACTTCTTATCTTAAATTTATTCAAGGTTTTCACGTTCTCAACAATAATTGTGATGTGCAATTTGTTCATTTCTTTTTTATACTCAGTTTGGTGTAAAAAAATATTTCTAGATTTTTGTTTTTGTTTTCTTAACTCTTTTTTTTTATTTTGGAATTTATAACAAGTAAAATATCTTTATTATCACGTCGCTCTAATGTACTTTTGGTGGAGATCTTTTTTTTTTAAATTAAAATGAATAGAAAATATATACACATACATATATGCAAGTCCCTCAATCCGGTTTTTCAAATATGCATGTACATACTAAGTTAAACAGAATAAATGGATGTACATACTAACTGGAAAAAAAATAACCTTAAGAGCCAGTTAATAATTGTATAGAGGTAATAGAAAAAAAAAAATTGACAAAAAAATATCCTAAAGGTAAGAAGTATAAATAAAAAAACAGATTTAAAATAAAAAAAAATAAAATATTTGCGTAATTATTTTTCTTCTGTATACACTTAAATATGGAAATTGTCAGGAGGTACATAGGTATTAATATTTTACAATGTTTATGCAAAAAGTTTCTTAACCCGCAAGAAATTTTTTTTTTTTTATTTAATTAACCAATGTGAATTTTGTTTTCCGGAATAAATAATAATTATTGTGCTATAAAACTTTTAAATACACTTAACGCTATAAGCTTTTAAAAAGAATAAGAAAAGTTGAATTGATTAACAATGTTCATAAAATTCAAAAAAATTTGTTCTAAATTAATGATTCTCAATTTTTAAACAAATATGCAATACTATTCGTGAATCGAAAAAATTAATTTAAAACTAAAGTACAAAAAATCAAACAAAACAATTTTCAGTTCTTTTTAATTTTTATTGTACATATATTTCACTTTTTAAAAAAATACTAAAAACATATATGGAACTATATTATTCATCTTCATCACTGTCAATTTTCTTAAGACTACCAAAAACTTTTGCGGGAATTTGTTGTTTTTCTATTCCAACTTTTCCAATAACTTCAACATTTTCTTCACCATTTTCAACAACTTCCATTTCTTCTTCGTCATTTTCATCTTCATCTTCATCACTGTCTCCAATATCAATTTCATCCGGATTAATTACTTTATCTTTTTCACCAGTTCCAGTAGTTTCCCCTCGTACAAACAAAATATTACTTGGTGCAGGTTTGCTTATAGATTGAGAGGATTCTGTTGGTTTATGTTTTGCCATTTCTGCTGCTTTAGCTTCCAATAATCGCATTCCATCTTGTGCACCAGGCGCCAAATCTGCTACAGTTCCAAGAGAAGTATTAACCATTTGAGCTGCCATCATATTTACTTGTGTATTATACGTAGCTTGTACACTACGTTTAATTCTTAACATTTCACGCATGGTATCCTCATTACCGTTACGTACCTCAAATTCTTTCCATGTCTGCCAGAATTCTGCTGTTATTCGTGGATCACACATTTGACTGCAATGGGCATATATAGCTCTAGCCCTATCAACTTCTCCTAATTTAATTTCCATTTCAGCAAAACGAACACACATTTCCCTAGCATTTTCTTCAGGCAGAGCCTCAATGGCTTTTTCATAAATTTGTCGTGTTTTAGGCAAGCCATAAAGTTCGGCCGCTTTTTTAATATAAATATTATACATACTGAACATTTCTTCAATTTGAACAGCTGTTGTTGATCGTTCATAAACCGCCATCGCATGTCTAGCCAAACCATGTTCTTCCTCTAATTTTGCATAGAGAAGGTAAAATGATTTTGCAAATTCTGGAGGACAATTTTCCAAACATTGTTCAAATAAATCTCTTGCCCTTTCTAATTTTGATCCACCATATCTTTTTAAAAATTTTGTCAAGTAAATGTTCCATATATCATACACGTTTGGCCATTTAAATAGTGCAATCCCTTTCTCATACGCTCTAAATGCTTCCTCAAAATAATTATGCTCTTCTAAAAACAACCCATAATTAATAATAATTTGTGGAGTACAAATTTTTAAGTCGATAATTCTATCATAAACTGCTTTGCAAGTTTTAAAAGTTCCGAAGCTTTCTTCTAAATCAGCATACATGGACCAAACTTTCAAACTTTTGTATAATCTCATTTGAACCGTTTCTGAATCATCATGATACGCTACTTTTCGTTTAGGCATTACAGTGGCTTTCTGCATTAATTTCAGTGCTTGCTCATAATTTTCTTGCCTTATTTCCATTTCAGCCCATTCACACCATACTGAAGCTAATTCATCAACTTTGACATATCCTACTTCCGTTGCTCTTTCAAAAACTAATTCAGCATCCTCTAGTTGATCATTATTCTCATAAAATTTAGCGAATTCAACCCATAGAGTATGCAGCTTTCCAACAGCTAATTTAGGCTGAACTGTTTGAACAGCTTCAGTGAAAGTATCAATTATTTCATTTGGTTTTCCTTCATATAATTTTACTCGCTTGTGCCATTCGTGAACATTATGTGGATTTTGTCTTAATAGCACGCTATTTAAGAGCAACAGTCGTCTTTCCATTAAATATTCAAATCGAGCTAACCGTAATTCAATATCTGCATCATCTTCTTCTGTTGCATCCGGATCATTTCCTACATCTTCCATTTTTTTATTTAGAGATAATTCTTCAAATTGAGCGTAAGCATCAAAAACCTGGGTGAAATCTCGTACTGTATTTACAGTTTCTATTGCTTCTTCGTATATATCTCTCGCTCTATCAAATAAACCACTTCGTATATAATAATCAGCCAAAGAGTTCCATAAATGCCCAATTTGATCAGTGTAGCTAAAAATTGAAAATAATTTACCAATTCTCTTTTTTGAATAGGTAAAAATAGTAATAATACTTACCGCCTAAGACCATCTCTTATAATTGCATCGACGTTAAGTGAATGAACTTTGTCAGGATTTTTAGAGATCAATTCACATAATTCATTCCATAATTGATGATTCGATTTACCATATTTCGATACGAAATTCTGATCATCTATAATATTGGCCAATCTTTGGGCTGCTTCGTCTAGCCTATCAATACTTATCAAAAATTCTATAAAATCCTCTGCGTCTTCTGGACAAAGTTTTAAATATCTTCTATAAACAACAACGGCAGTTTCTGGAATATCAAATTTTTTTATAAAATCTAAATAAAGGGGCCATATTCGATTATGCTGTGTAATGGGAAGTGATCTCAAAACTCTATCAAATAATTTTCGGGTTCTTGTAATTTTACATTGGAGCGTCATAAATTGGCAATAATCCATCCATATTCTTGGCATTTTATTCATGAAAACTAAGGATCGCTCGAAACAATTATTCACATCTTCATATGCTGGATCCGTAATAAATTTACCGCGTACTTGATGCCTTCGAGCCCGTAAGTACATATTCCAAATTTTATATGATCCTGGTAATTCCTTAAGTGCCCTTTCATACACCATATTGAGACTTTTATAAGATCCACTTGATTTGTATTCTATATAGCGAAGCCAATGTTTAACAGAATATGCATTACGAAGAATTTCTTCTTCATATGGAATATCTCCCTCCAGCTATAATTAAAAAGTTTTAACTAAATAGTTTTTAGAATATTAAAACTTCTCACCAATTCAATTCCGGTATTCATTTTATAAAAATAATTTTTGCACGTATTTTTTGATATTTATTGATAATATTTAATTGTGTATTTTGTTTAATATATGCTATACAAAAATTTGTAAACAAAACCACGAAAACGTTCTATTTGACATTACATTTGTGACTTCAAGAAAGGTGCTGCCAGTTAAAATAAAATTATTCCATATAAACGTTTATATATATATGTCATATACGTAAAATAATGAAATATATCAACATATGTTTGATTATTTGGTTTCATTAGCCAATTGTCTGAATAAAAATAATTTTATAACAATTATATTAGATAACTTGAAATTGTTTTTATAACAAATTTTATTTTAATTTCAGAATCTCAAATACATTATTTTTTGCTTTTGTTAAATGTTAATATGACATGTAAACGCAGTGTAAATGAAATCAATAGTGCAACGGCAGCTCTGTCATTACATACGATGTGACATACCAAAAGTAAATATTTATCAAATTTGACGTATGCCAATTATGTTTGGTTAGAAATAAAATTGAATTGATTGTAAAAAACCAGAAAATTTTAAATCTGTAAATAAACTGCAAATAATATATTAATGGATATTGAAAAAACTCATTTAGAAAAAACTTTAGAAAGTTTCGAGCAAGAGGATTTATTTAGTTTAATTTTAAGATATTGTTTATTTGTGGGAGCCCTCTTCCAAATGGTAAAATCAAATAATATTTCCTGTATATATAACAATGTATAAAACAAAACATTAAATCTCTGCCAGGTATGCATTGGAGCGTGTATATTTTTAAAAGATCCTAACGGTGAAGCTATGGCTCCTGAGGTAAATGAAAATCTAAATTTAAAAAAGGTTAAATATAAAACTAATGTGGTCTTTATAGTTTCGTAGACGCGAATCAGAAGATTTATCGAACAAAAGGCATCACAAGCAAAGAAGGACTGAAAAGAAGAAACGTCGTTAAATATGTTTAAAATTGTTAAATTCCATCTACTACACTCATTCCAAACTTCATTTTAATATAAATTATAAGGACATAAGGTTTTTAGCAATAAAATTTGATTTAGTTTTACCATGAACCAATGTTTATTTTCAATTCATTGTACAATTTAAAAATTTTCTACATAAATGAATGGAAATATTGCTAACCGTTACTCCTATTCATCACCTTTGCCCGACTTTTCTCTATCTGCTTTTCTTTGCAATAACCTACGTTCTCGTTCATATTCTTTCATACGTAAAACGTAATCTTCATATTCACAATTAAGGTATTCGTGTCGTTCATGATGACATTTAAATAAAAATGGAAATACATCTGCTCGGCAGGCACGATATTTTAATAATTTATGTGCACAATAATCACGATCGGCTAATGGTAGTTTTGCAGATTGCATTTCTGCTTCTGTTGCAACCATTACACGTTCTTTTCTTCCATTTGGGAACCCATATAGTGGATCAAATGAAGGTTCTTTCAACGGGTGTGGTGTAACATCTGGTTTTGCATACAACGCAAAAGCGTTACCCATTTTGTGTTATTTTATTTATTTTAATATTAGCCAAATAATTTTTTATTTTAAAAATATTCTAAATTTTTTTAACTGGCATATTATTAGGTAACCAAATGTCTTCTTAGCACAGCTGACAGATTAATAAATGACATAAGGAATGTTTCATTATATTAACTTTCAAACTAATGAGACGACATCTGCGATTTTATTTCAAACATTTTTTTGGTGTTAAAAATTTTATGTCTTATTGTGTAATTCTTTTCAATTAATTTAGACCGAGAGAGGACCCTATAAAGCATTAAATATAACTATATTACAGCTAAAATGTTATATTTTGATTCTTATATCTATACCAACAAATTTTCTGTAGCAAAACCGGAAAATTGTGGTTATTTTTGAAAATCCCTGAAATAAATTGGTCACTCCTCGTAAATAATAAAAAATTTATTGTTTGATATGGTAACACTAATGTCAGATAACAGCTGAAAATTTTAGATAAATAATGGTATTTGTGTAAGTATAAGAACATCAACACAATATTTACAATACGTGTCGCTATATTAAATATCCTATAATTTAATTTAAAATTGTTACTTAACATTTAATTCATGTAAAATGCTTAAAGCAGTTATTCTTGTTGGTGGGCCACAAAAAGGTATAAAAACTTTCTTTGTCGGTTGTTTCTAAACCTCATATTTGCTTAATTGCAGGAACCCGGTTTCGTCCTCTTTCATTAGATAGCCCAAAACCATTATTTCCAGTGGCTGGTCGTCCTATTATTCAACACCATATTGAAGCATGTATGCAAGTAAAAGATTTAAAAGAAATTCTTATAATTGGTTTTTATCCAATAAATCAAATGGAACAATTTATCAATGAAATGCAGAATTTGCACAATATTAACATTAGGTTTTTTATATAGCCCTGATTAACTACGTGGAAAAAAAATTCAATTTTCTTATTTGTACTCTTTAAGATATCTGCAAGAATTTACACCTTTGGGAACGGCAGGTGGAATGTATCATTTTAGGGATCAAATTAGGACCGGGAATCCAAAGGCTTTTTTTGTTCTCAATGGAGATGTTTGTGCAGATTTTCCTTTGCAATCATTATATGATTTTCATACGACTCGATCAAATGCAATGATATCAATCATGAGCACTGAAGCAACGAGGCAACAGTCAGTGAACTATGGGTGCTTAGTTTTTGCAAGAGATACTGGTTTAGTTTCGCACTACGTTGAAAAACCAAGTTCATATATATCATCCTTCATCAATTGTGGAGTTTACGTTTGTTCCCTAGATGTCTTTTCAACAATAGCAACAATTTTTAATTCAAGGGAATATGATTTTTTTAGCAATGAAGTCAATAATGGTTGTAATGGAAAAGATCAAGGTCATATACTTTGGGAGCAAGAAATTTTAACGCCTTTAGCAGGAACTGGAAAATTATTCACACTGCCAGTTACAACGTGGTGGTCTCAGTTAAAAACGGCAGGTGCAGCTATATATGCAAATCGTCATTACTTAGGTAAATAATATAAAAGTATTACATTAAGTTATCATTTTCTTTCAAAAATTTAAGTTACAGCATTTATTAGTGAACGGAATTCGCGTAAGTGTGAACAATTCTTTTATTATTTAATATTTAATTATATATGTATGTATGTAGGTATCTAGCATTTGCAACATGAATATTTTAAATTAGGTAGAAGCTGTGCAAATATTAAGCTAGAGTTCCACTATATTATATACACATATATGTATATGTATTTAATTAAAACGTTTTTCAATTTTTCATTTTAGAACTTTATCGCAAAACACATCCAGAGCGATTATCAAAAACTGGAATTAAAACAGAACTTTCTGACGAATCATTGGTGTGCAACGTTATACAAGACGTACATATACATCCTACAGCATCTGTTCACCCAACTGCCACCGTAACGAAACATCACTATTTCCATTATTTATTCATATTCTGTACATAATATATTATTCTATATTATAGTTGGGTCCCAATGTTTCGATTGGAGCAGGTGTAACAATTGGTCCAGGTGTTAGAATAAAAGAAACGATTGTGTTAGATAATGCAGTTATTCAAGACCATACATTGGTGCTACATAGTATAGGTTACTTTAAATTTTTTTTTTAAATAATATAACTTGTATTTATTAATGAAACTTTATCATTTAGTTGGTCGTGGTTCAATAATTGGATGTTGGGCGCGTGTTGAAGGAACTCCAAGTGATCCTGATCCAAATAAACCATTTGCAAAAATGGAAAATCCACCGTTATTTAATAAGGAAGGAAAACTCAATCCTTCAATTACTGTCCTAGGCGGATTTGTCAATGTACCATCAGAAAAAATTTTGTTAAATTCAATTGTCTTGCCACATAAAGAATTAAGTAGAAATTTCAAAAATGAAATTATTTTATAAATTTATGTACATACATATTCCAAAGATGAAATTTGTTGTTTTAATTTTAAAATTTCTTTTTAAATATTTGCCATATTATTAGTATTCTGTAAAAAAATTTTTTTTATTAAATGGAAAACTTAATTTTAATTTTGGATTTAGTAATAATGTATTGCTATCATGTTTTTTTTTATAATTGGATTTCGAAAAAATATTAAGAATAAAAGGAATTCTCTTGATTTTTTTTTGCAGTTTTCCTATTTTTAAAAAAATATTAAATGAAAAGTATGAGTTAATGATATATGTACCTACATTCATATTAAATTAAATTCATATAAAACATACAAATACTTATATGTATATTCTTGATATAATTAAAGGTTAATTATACGTAATTATAAAATTTACACCTATTTTCACATCATCTAAAAAATTTCAAAGAATTGTTGGCTAGCTAGATTTTACTCCGTTTAGGTAATTATTAGTCTTTAGTATTTTATAAAAATTTATTAGTTTGATCCAAATATGATCCAATAACGTTATGTAGAATACACAACATATTTTTGTGTTGTAATTATAAAATATTAAAAAATTTACACAATATGTAAATTACATTTATGAACTATTTAGCTGTATAACAGAATTATGTACATGTGTATGTATATAGCAGTTATATAATGTAGTTTTGAATGTAGGTTTGGAATTTTTTTTGTCTCTTCCATGAATCAGGTTTTGATTTTTTAAGTTGAGTAAAATCGTGTTTCGAGTAAATTTTTATTTAAGGAAGATTTGGCATGTTTTTTTATTTTATTATTTCGGAAAGCATACCATTATTAAAATTTCAAAATAAAAATAGTTCTTAATTAATTTTTAAAGAATCTTTAATTTAAAAAAAATTTTCTTTTAAAAGAATAGAATTATTTGAAAAAAAAATAAGAGTTTGTTTGGAGAAAGAAGAGTTTTAAAATACCTAAGATTTAAGCCAATAAATTTTCAATAGACTGAATAGCTTTTGCCAAATATTTACAAATATTTCAGAAATCAAGTAGACATTTCTGTCTTCTGTAAAGGAGTCTATTTGTGAAATTATTAATTTTAATTTTATATTTGTTTAATTTATAATTGCACTTTGTGCCTAAAGATACTAAAACAAAATGCTATTCGTTTCAACAACAAAAATTCAATTCAGTTATTAAATATTTATTAAATAATTAATATATAGTAAAAAAAATTATTTTATATTTAATTGTTAGAATTGCAGAAATCAGAACTTCATTACAGCTTTAAAAATTTTTCCAATAAATTTATTTAACGAGAAAAATTTATAAGATTTTATTTTATTAATTGTATTATCACTATAGATCAGTTGAATATTATAGAAAAAATAATTTTTTAAATAAATTTTTCATTAATTAAATATGTATGAACATATAAGATATTCTTTCAATAAATTCCTCTAATTCTAATTGCTATATTATTTTATATTTTTGAACAGTAATAATTATGCACCTGTTGTATTAAAATAAATTTATAGTGATTTTAATCTGATATTAAATTCGATGATTGTACAACCCATATAAACAACTTTCAAATATCATACTTTTTTATATCTAAGTACATACATATTATATGTATATATATATGCAATCTCTTATAATCTTATACTTAATTATAAAAGCACAATATTTATGTAAATAGATTTTTTGAAAAAAAAAAAAAAATGAACATTTATTATTGGTGGTTAGACAAGTTTATTAATTTTATTTTTCTTTTTCTTTTTAATTAACCAACCACATTTCCTAACATAGTACACATACATTTAGTTACTTTAGGATAAATAAAAATTAAGTTTTCCCCCACTCAACTGTATTCCCATAAAATATTGAAAATAAACATAAAATGTTGATTAAAACAGGTAACAAAACTTTTGCTTATTTTACTGTTGTGATTAACAAAAAAAATTGCATTAGAAATTTTCTTCTATAATTATTAATTTTTCATATAAATACCGTGTAAAAGACCCTTATTCAAGAAAAAAAAAGAATATGTTTTCAGTATGCAAATCAAGATTTTAAATTTAATAGTTAAGATAATTCCAAGGCTATGTTGCGAGGCGGCTACTTTCTTAACTAAAAAAAATATGTCCATTATATTAAAGTAGACGATGGGTTCAACTAATTGCTTTAAAATTCCCCTTTTTCTAAGGTGGAGTTAAAAAACTTTTGTTTTTATTAAAATTTTATCGCCATATTGCATTCCTTAATTTACAATAAAATTCATGTAGATTATTACAAAAAATTGCTGATTAAGCTATATAACATTTTAAATAACCATGATTCTAAACTAATTACGTTTCATTTGTAGGCTTTAATTGTATAATTATTATTTCCAATTGGACGTTTACTATTGAATACTCTCTCTCATGAAATATTTTGTTATTTTTAATAGGTTTAGAGATTATGAAAATTATTGGAATTTTTCTAATAAAAAATTAATCCTTATTAAAAAAATTAGTAAACCGTCAATTTGTAATAGGTTCCTTTTAATTATTCTTCTATACAATCTTCAATATTATTGTTCGATAATTGAAGACAATCAATCAGCCCTATCATGAATTTCGTTCATAGTACTGAAATTCGGAAAATTTCGACTACAAAAATATAAATTATAAATTATAAAAACTCTGCTCCGAATATTCGTAATCGATTTTTGGAAATACTACTTTCGTAGTAAAAATTATCACCAAAAATCTAGGAAAGAAATAATCACACTTAACAAGCAATTTAAAGAGAATGGTTGTATTAAATTTTCAAGTTTAGAATTTTTTGGTTTGAATTTGAGTTACTCTAACATAGCTACCATGAAAGGAAATGATATAATATTGCCAAAACACTTTTCAAAAATATTCCAAAACTAAAAAAATTATATTTTAAAAAATATTGGTTGTGAAAGGAATTTATGCTCATTCAAAAGTCTACGTCTTAGTTATGTTCACAATTCGTAGGATTCTACGAGTGGAATTCTTGATAATTATAAGTATAATTAATTTACTTGAAATATTTTAGGTTTTCTAAACATTCTAAAATATTTTAATCGGTCAAATTATTTAAAAAAGAATATAAAAAAACCCATTAAATAAAGTGGAGTATTTATTAAATATTGGCGAGTTGAAGCACCAAAATGATTTCGATTATTTATTTCCAAAAAGGTTAATAACAGCGCCAGTACATAATCCTAAAAGGAAGCTCCAAGATGCAATAAGACTAAAAATGTATACAGAATTGTAATAAGAATTTCAGTCTTTAAAAAATTTTTTTCTATTATAATTAAAATAAAAGTTTATTTTAAAATTTTATATCTGACCATGTTTTTATAATATAAGGACTCTTACATTTTTAAGTGACAAAATGTTCAAGACATTGTCTTGAGGAACCTATATTTGGAAAAGTAAACTTAATTACTATGCTTCAGGCCAATAAAATATAAAAACGTTTGTCCGCCATTATTTTACAAAAATGCCAAGAAAGAATTTGTGCACTCTGATGTAAAAAATTGGGTTGTAAATTTTAACTATATTTTAGCGTCTACATTTTAGCCTATACAACACCATTTTTTTTTTGGAAAGAATCATTTCTACTATGGCCTAAATGGAGAATAAACCAATATACAAAATTTTCGCTAACTAAGATATACGATTAACGACTAATAATTCGTTCTTCTAGAAGATTTCTAAAATCGTACGAACATATGGGTTTTAAGTTTTCCAGAAAATTTAAATGGTGTTGAAAATTTAAATTCCATCATTAACTCAACCGATTTATAATACTAATTTTAATCTATTGGAATCAATTGTGAATTACAATTAATATAATGATCTTAAATTGAAAATTTTTATAAAATAATTTTATAATTGCATAAAATATAACTAAGTTTCATCATATATTTTTAATGAATTTTCCGAAACAAAAAATCCTGTATTGAAAGAAAAATAATTCTATTTTTTCTCAATTTATCATTATATTTTACCAATACCAAGGATTAAAGAGTACTGAATAAAGCGCTAAATGACTCTATATAATTAGAAGTTTCAATTGCTAGTAATAGTAATCATAAAAAATCTTTGTCTACATAATTGTAATCTACCTAAATATTATTCTTTGTGGAATTTTGTACATTAAATTATGTAACAATTTAAAGTATTGCCTATATTAAGGGGTAAGATTTTTAAAATTTACATGAAAGGGGATAATTAAAATTTACATGAAATTTATTTATACTCGTAGGATCCTGATTAAGGACAAATTATCGTAGGAATTAGAATTTATGCACTGTTTATTAAAAGTTGTGCCGTATAAACATATTATTTGAATAGTTTTAAATTTTGGGTCATAAAATTGAGCTCCTAAAATTAATTCGAAAAAATGGCAATATAAATGGTAATTGCAGCAATATAATTTGAATTTGAATTTTATTGACTGTAGTAATCAAATTTTCAGAATAGAAAATCTTTCATTTATATAGCCATATTTCATCATTTAAAAATTCGAATTCCAAAAGAAGGGTAGATGCAAGTTGGCATCTAAAGAATTAAAAAATAAATGCTCATTTCTCATTTTATGTGCATAGAGTTAAAAATCATGTTAACAATATTAAATTAATTAGGGTATATTTTATAATTTCAAAATGTAATTGTAATTAATAATGTAACAATGGAGATTTTTTTGTAAAACATCACATCTCAAATCTCACAAGCAAACCAGCTATATAAAAATTAAAACTTCATTACAATGAACAAATGCAATAAAATCACCTTATTTCATAGATTATAAGATTCATAGAATACAATTAATTTAGGTAGATTTATTAACAAATTTATTAACTATAATGAAATCAAATTAAGTAATTTTATTAATTTCAAATTACATATATATAATATTTTATTATTAATAAATTTAATGAACACTTTATGTCATATGCAATTAATATTGCATTAAAACAAAAGATTAGAACAAAGAATAAAAAAAATAAAGTGTGAATATTAAATTAAATTAAAATTTTTTTTTTTATTTAAATTAATTTTAATAAAATGGCGAATATTTGCTATGTCATTGTTGCAGGTGTTTCATAATATTATAAAAATGGGGTGTTTCTAATTTTAATACATACACAAAACATATATATTCAAATAAATTACAAAACATTCATGTATATCGTATATATATATATATACTCAATTATATTA